GCACACTGTTGGCTCATATTTAAGTGATCATCCACTACTCAAAGGTCTCCCTCACAGTTACTGTTTCTGAGCCAGGGTTCGCCTAATCTATACTTCAGAGGTGGTATTCAGCAGGTTCTGACCAATTCTGGTAATGGAAATTTTGAATAGTTTGGAGAATTGGCAAATATCACCTCTGACTGGCCCCACCCCCATCTATTGTCTGCCTCCCGAGTCCCAGCTGATTGGCTGGGTCTTCTTTTGTTGCCCTGCACAGGAGAACAGAACTGGAAACCAGGTTAGTGCGGTGGGGAGGGAATGGAGATTTTACAGTATCCTTCCCCTGCTATGCCCACCAAGCCATGTCCACCAAGTAACATCACGCCCACCAAGCCATGACCACAGAACCGGAAGTAAAAAAAATTGAATCCTACCACAGCTGCACTTGTAGGTGGAACCTGGCTCAAAAACACTAATTGTATTCTTTCTTAAGCCTCCAAGTATTCAACCATGGGTCCCTAAGTTTCCTATCCAGCAAGGCCAACATTCAAGACTAATGAATTGCATCCAAATTTAGACCCCCAGGACTGGGGAAGGATAATCATATCAAAATGCTGTCACAAGTGGTCCTCTTTATACACTCTAAAAGGGCTTATATTATTGATTTGTATTAAATAATTTAATTTTAATTTAATAATATTATTTCTTCTTTTTGATAAATTGCACCACATTTTCTTCAATTGGTCAACTATTATAAGCACATTAAACTGCTACATGTATACAATAATAAATAATAGTTTGGCCATTTGTTTTTCAAAATGTTATTACCATGAGCTATTCCCATCATGCATATCAGGTATATTCTTGCTGCAATTATTGTAAATTGTTTAATTAGACAGCTTTCACCAAATTCTGTATTTGCTCTGCAATTTAAGATTACTTTACAAGCTCAAATAATTAGCATTTTCTTCCAATTCTAGGAAATTGTTATTTATTTAACTGCTGTCATAACCACGAAAAAACATCTCATAATCTTATGTTCCTTTCTTTAGCATGTTATTGAACTAGAAAAGGAACATTATGAAAAAAAGAGTATTATTAGGATCAAACAAATGTGCTACATTATATACTTTAAGCAAACATAGCCAGCAATTCTGAGATCTCAAGCAGAATGAGATATGTGTAGGTTGTGTAAACAGAAATAAAATAGATTGTGGTAGTCTGGTCCCCTCTCAGAAATTAATTAAAATAATAAAGGTAAATTAAAGCAAATTGAATCATGAATTATCAGATGGAAACATCTGCTATAAAGTGAGTCCCCTCAAGTCATCCTATGTTATCTCATTGTGGGGGGAGGGGTTCCTACAAGGCACAAGTAAGGACATAAAAGGACATAAAAGCATAAAAATTGTCCTAACTGCCCAACTGCTCAAACCAAACCTTTATACAATACAGCAGTGATACAGGATGATTTGGGAGGATGAGGGTCAGCTTAGTGATAACAGCCGTTCCTCAACAGCACGGTAAGTGCCATCCGTTCTGAATTTAACCATTCCACCATCATCAGGCACCATATTATCAATCATTTTATATTGTCAATCCATGTGATTTTCTTGGCAATGCCTGGCGAAAGGAAGTGGTAAATCATTCCTCTATCTTACCAAGGGAATCAAATGGACACAGTATTGATGCTTCTGAATTCTGGTGTTTGAAAAACTGCCTGAGAATACAATGTGAATGGTAAGAAAACACAAATGGATCCTAGAACAAGTCAAGAATTGGAGATTCTTACTTGAAGCACAAATGGCAAAGGCCAAATTATCATACTTTAAGGAAGTTATGTGTAGATCTAGCTCTTTTGAGAAGTCCATTATCTTGGAAAAGATAGAAGGAAAGAAAATAACACTCAACAAATGTTTCTTAGCCTTAGGAAAAATATTCAGGGATTTCCTTCATGCCTGGCAGTCATTCAAGAGAAACTTAGAACATAGAACAATAGAGTTGGAAGAGATCTTGGAAGTCTTCTAGTCTAATTTCATGCTCAAGCAGAAGAGCCTATACCATTTCAGATAAATGGTTGTCCAGTTTCTTTTTGAAAGCCTCCAGTGATCAATCAGAATACAGCTGAAAGGGACCTTGGAGGTCTTCTAGTCCAGCCCCTGTTAAAACAGGAGACCCTATAACATTTCAGATAGTGACTGTCCAGTCTCTTCTTAAAAATCTCCATCAATGAAGCACCCATGACTTCTGAAGGCAAGCTGTTCCACTGGTTAATTATCCTCACTGTTAGGAAGTTTCTGCTTAATTCCAAGTTCCATTTCTCCTTGATTAGTTTCTATCCATTGTTTCTTGTCCTGCCCTCTTTTGCTTTGGAAAATAAATTGATCCCCCTTGTCTTTGTTACAGCCTCTCAATAATGCTATCATGTCCCCCTAGTCTTTCTTTTCTCTAGACTTGCCAAACCCAAATTCAAATGATGGAGAACCCACAACTTCTGAAGAGCAAGCTATTCAATTGGTTGATTGTTCATACCATTAGGAAAGTTTTCCTTACTTCTCTCCTTGGTTAGTTTCCAACCATTGGTGGGTTTCTTTTTGTCTTGCCTTTAGGTGCTTTGAAAAATAGTTTGACCCTCCTCATCTTTGTAGGAGCCCCTCAAATATTTACTCAAATAGTTCTAAATGGGAGATTGACTATCAAGATCAAGGGAAGTACTAATACCACTCTATAAAGCCTTAGTAAGATCACACCTAGAGTACTGCATCCAGTTTTGTTCACCACATTATAAAAAAGATGTTGAGACTCTAGAAAAAGTACAGAGGACAGCAACCAGGATGATTAGGGGACTGGAAGCTAAAACATAGAATGAACGGTTGCAGGAACTGGGCTTGATTAGTCTAGTAAAGAGAATGACCAGGGGAGACATGATAGCAGTCTTCCAATATTTGAGGGGCTGCCACAAGGAGGAGGGGGTCAAGCTATTTTCTAAAGCACCTGTAGGCCAGACAAGGAATAATAGATGGAAACTGAACAAGGAGAGATTTAACCTGGGAATAAGAAGAAACTTTCTGACAGTGAGAACAATCAACCAATGGAACAGCTTGCCCTTGGAAGTTGTGGGAGCACCATCATTTGAGACTTTCAAGAAGAGATTGGACTGCCATTTGCCAGAAATGGTATAGGGTCTCCCGCTTGGGCGGGGGGTTGGACTAGATGACCTACAAGGTCCCTTCCAATTTTGATTATCTGTTATTTTGCTAATGTGCTAAAAAGAGCTGTGCTAAAAATGCCCATCCATTAGACTTAGTCTCGTTGCAGTTCTGGACCCGAAGTCCACTAGATGATTTCCAAGGCATCCATTCCACTTCTGTACAAAACATCCATGACATATATTATAGATCCCATTATGCCCCAGATAAACCAGATGCTGTAATGCCAGATGCAGTTACATAATTCAGATAGTATCTGCTTTCACTTTTACTTATTTCAAAGTTCTATTGTGCATTCCGCTTGACGGGATATCTATAAATAATGCAATTTCCTGCCGCATGATTGATAATGGATTTATTTTTCTGGTACTCCTAACATGCTATTTGATATCTTATCAACCTAAGGAAAACATTGCTGCCAAAACCTGACATGTTTATCCTTGCAAAGTCAAACCAAACTGGCTATCTCAATGGGATAACTCTTTGCAATAATCTTCTGTTGAGCTTAAGCAATTTTACAGAGAGTATAGACGGTAACAGCTATTTTAAAAAGTACATCACTGAAATGCTTCACTGTTTATATCTGATGAAATTTTTCTCTCAAAAAGAGAAAGAAAGAAGTCAAGATAGGATTTTAGGCTTATCTCCCTTATACTGATAAGACAAAGTGTTTTTTGTCCTTTTAAAAATCTACATGAATACCTATATTTTAATATATAACTGGCAGTAATTTCTATAAGCCATCTTTAGATATTAGCTGATTCACAACATTTTTGCATCCACAGCTCCTAGGTAAATTCTATGAATTTCAGTGCAGGTTATTGGCAGGTAAATAGGGACATGCTTGCCATCTAAATATATTAAATAAATACATCACACATATTCAGTCAGGATTCATGTAAATGGTGCAGCTTTCTTGATTAGCTAACCAAAAATGGCACACTGCCCAACAGATAAATCTTCTGAGTTATTCTTTTTTTTAATGCAAAGTCTTATCGATAGCCCCAGTCCCTCTACCGTTCAGTAAATGGGTGGTTTCGTTCTATGGTGAATAGTTTGAACTGACAGGATCCTTTGAAATCAGCTTTTCTAGGTGAACAGAACTTTCGGTGATTATTCCCAGAATTATTTATAAGATATGATCAAGCATTACCCCTCAAACTGTAAATTGGAGGAGTCAAGTGGAAGTTTGTTAGTTTTATCATTACTTTTTCTTTTGATCATCTTTCTTAGCCAATAAGCTCTCCGTGATTTCTCTCTCGCATCGAAGGCTCCACTTCAGACAAATCTCCACTTTGTATAAATCACACCCTCATGGAACGAATGCTAATGCAGCATCTTTTCTCCACTTTCAGTCATTTCTGATGACTTTCACTTTCAAAAATAATTCCCACAGAATTGCTCTCTTGGCGTTTAAGGCTTACCAGCATCACTTCCTACCATCTCTCTCGCTCCGTCTCCCCTATCTCGTCAGCTCTTTTCTCAATAGGATTTCCACAAAATAGACCTGCCCTTCTGTCAAGGGTTCTCTTCATTGATACACCGAATGGCCTGATCACCTTTTCCCAGTTGATAAATTCATTTTAAAAAAAAAACTTATCAGAACCTTTAACCATTCGTTTTATCTCACTATTATCAGCCAAAATACATTTGCCACATGACCAATATAAATGAGGTTTTACTATATTCTAAGCATTTTTAAAAGAGTAAGTTGAAGTTTGGATTCTGTGGGAACCATTCTTCAGACAATTAGCCACTGTTCGTTCCTACAGCACTGAAATATTATATTGATTAACAAGCAAAAACTCATACCTTGGAAAGGTGATGTCAAAACTGGGATTTTTATTGGTGACAAAGTCAGCACATGACATGGTTGGATACTTGAAGGTGGTCCCTGAGGGGGCTCAGCATCTATGGATAGCATGGCTGCTGCAAAGGCAATTGTCTGGTTGCCTCCAGTTTGTTTAAGTGAACCAGCTGAGAAAGAAAGAAAAATGAATTGGTTTTATGTTCATTGCACATTTGAAGGTCTTTAACATGAATATAAAATATATTGCTTAGCAGTTCATCTCTGCCATCGTCGTTTGATGACAGATTGCTTCAAAATAGTTTTCTTCTTTCTTCTTCATAGATAGATAGATAGATAGATAGATAGATAGATAGATAGATAGATACACACACACATGTTGCTTGGCTTATAGAATAAAACAACTTCCCCACTTTTCATATAGGAACAACAATGAATCAGATATGAAAGTTCAAAATTACTGCTGGCCAATCAATAAAATATAATTTTAATTTAAAATGGTATAGGTTAAAATTCTTGCTCAACATGGAGTGTATTGCATTTTTTTTAAAAAATCAAGCACTGTACAAATAAGTGGGAAAAAGAATAATATACTTCTTTCTGAAACCTGTTTTAAAGGCAGAATTAGGTGTTAGGAGTTGAAATGCTATATCATAATGGGGCTACCATATATAATTTAGTGATATAAATTTCCCCATGGTTACCATTTCAGCTATTATTGTTTCAGAGTATACATTTGTTTGGTGTGAAATACTTTTAGTAGTGGGTGGGCTTAATTTCATTAAAGAACTTATATCAAGAAAAAGAAGGCAGAGTAAAGTTTTAGAGGAAGGCCAAAGTAATGAAGTGATGGATGAGATCTAGGTTCTCAACTTCAACAACATTAAGATGTTGGACTTCAACGCCCAGCATTCAGGAGGTCTTGGGAATCCTGGGAGTTGAGATACATCCATCTTCACATTGATGAAGTTAGGAAACATTGAACTAGATGGAGAAGTTTGCAGTTTAGATTTCAGGCAAACTGACCCTGATGTTCTTTAGCAGCCTGGTTGGGCAAAGAGAAAGATAGAAGCTAGAAAGAAGAGGACTGACTCAACAAAAGCAAAGAGACAAAATGGAGCAAAGGAGGAGAAAAGCTAGAAATTATCTAAAAGAAACCAAGAGAAATTGCATGTTGGTAGAAAGAGGATGTGGGGAGGGGAAATAAGTTGTGTCACCAGATCTCAGCTGTAAAAAATGGCTACAAAAAAAGCAGTTTCTTGTATTAATTTTATTTATTTCTTTTTTTTTTCTTTTTGCATTCTTAACTGGTAAGAAAGTAGGGAAGAAAGAGAAAAGACACAATTCAACTTTCCCTCTCTTAACTGCCTTCCATTGCTGACCCTCTATGACCTATCAGGTTCAAGCAAGATGTTTTCAAAATGGTCACTTCGAGCATTGATTCATACACAGCTGCCTTCTTCTTCCAGCCAGGTGACCTTGAAGCAGCATCTCGGGAAGATACAGAGGTTACTTTCACTTTATCCCAAGCATTCTCTCTCCCCCATTCATCCTCTCCAGAGTTCATGGTAGACTGTCACCGCATGGTAGCAAAGCACACCAGCAAGTATAAAGTGGCAGCTGACAGACAGTGACTAAGTGACAGTGACTAAGATGGGGTGTCATTTTAAGAGAAAAAATATTGTTATGTCATTCTATCCAAGACCAACACAATTGTAATAAATGAATACATGTAAATGTATATTATTTCAGTGAAGCAGTGACTGAATGAAAGCAGTGCTGCCTAGTGTATTTTTCCATGCAAATGTAGGTCATTTCTATGCAACACAGCCTATCCCAACCTGTCACTCTCCGTATTAATAGAATTTACAGTTACAAACTGAATCAACCAATGCTGGCTCAGAAGCATGGAAGTTGTAATAGATCTGAAGGTACCAAATCAAGGAAGCCAGCATATATTCAAAATGCCCTTTACACTTGATTCCAAAAGGAAAAAGGAAAAGATATTATTGCAATATATCTTCTTCCAAAGAACAAAACTAAATTCAATAATGGATAACATAGAAATACCACTTCATTAGTAGGAGGAAATTATCTCCAATGCTTTCTCTTCATAATATTTACTTTTTGGGAAAATAGGGGATACATGTCTTGCTTGATCATAGCTCAAAAACAAGAAAAGAAAAAAATAAAATCTTAAGGAAAGTTAATTTGACAAATGCCACTTGTTCTCATCTCTACATTGGATAATGGAAGAAACCAATTTAAATAAACCATTAGCTTATTATGTTTTTCAGTAAATCTATTTAATTGACAAGGAAGTCCTTCTGACATTAAGGCAATAAGTAAATCAGCCAAAAGCCGTAGTTGGAGATGACTCATGATTTTAGATATTTCATAACAGGTGCATGTTTTAGGATTCCTTTTGAAGATCAGCAGAATTCTAGACCTGTTCCTTGTTGCTGTTTCACTTATGTTCACATTTATGGCTCTTTAACTAATGGAACTTAAAGACTGGACACTTCAACTGACTTTCTTGTCATTATGGCACATGAATGGCTAAATAATTATATTTCAAAATTGTGATAAAAGCAGGAAACAGAAAGGCAATAATGTTAATAAAAGACTTGCAATATTCCTACCCAGAAAAAAGTTTGTCTCTCTCTGTGTGTGTGTATGTTTTCTTTATTGTCTGTATTTTCTTTACAGCCAAACCTTTCTCCCTGATTGTGCTCTCGGGAATAAAATCAATAGTTGGCTTATCGTTGCAATAAAAGTAAATATATCTTCATCAAAATCAAAAACATTGATTATCAATTCTGTAGCTGATCTCGTTCCTCAGAGTTATTTTAAGCAGCTGGCCTTTTCATAGGGAATGATTCTTCAGTGTTAGAATTAAGTTTTAATTAATGGGAAAAAATGGTTTTAAATGTATTTTTAATGAATGAATCCTGTAAGGCTATCCTGTAGGGTTGGTCTGTCATCAATCTGTTGCACCCAATTGCTATGTAAGTGTTGAAAGGTGCAACATGATGTATGTGGACGGCAAAGGATTAGAAAATGCTATTCTAGATAATATGTACCGGTACATTGCAAAGATCTAGTGGGATGTTCTATGACTCCATTAACCTTTTATGGAGACTATGTCTTCTGTTGGTGGCAGAAGGTAGTTTTCATTTTCAACTACAAGGTTTCAAAACTGTTTTCTATGTTGACAGAATTAGAAAACCATAGAATGCAAAGCTTGAGAGAAGCATAGGAGATCATTTTCTGCAACTCTGTTCCATGAAAGAATCCACTACTAAGCAGTTTTGATAGATGGCCATCTAGTTTTTAAATACTTCAAGGAAAGGAGATGCTATCATTTCCAAGTCAGTTTGTTCTTTTGAACAACTCTTACTATGAGGTTATTTTTTCCCCTGTCAAACCAAAATATATTTTCTTCTATTTTAAACCTCTTGTTGAATTAAGGTCCTGTTTACTGACAAATCTACCCTATTCTCCATATGACAGTTCTTCCTTGAAAGTTTGTTACCATGAAAATCTATTCTCCTGGCCAAACATGTCCATCTATTGCAGCCTTTCCTTAAAAGTTTTTTGTTTCAGACCTCATATTACATTAGCTACTGTCTTCTGATGTCTTCTACTTTGCAAATGTCCTTCCTACAACCTAATGGCCAGAACCCAACTAGTAATGTTAGTGTGGAAAAATAACAATGACTTTTCATGTTGATAGATAGATAGATAGATAGATAGATAGATAGATAGATAGATAGATGATGGATGGATTGAAGAGAGAGAGAATAGAAACATTTTGGAATTTTTAAATCCATATGTATGCATGTATGTATGTATGCCTTGCAAGAGAGAAGTACCATGTAGTATGTCTTACAAAAAGGAATTAAGAAATTATACAGCATACAAGATTGTTGTGGACAAAATAAAAAGCATTCTGTACACCTGGTGTTGTATAAAAAATAAAGGTGGGATATCAATATAATAATAAACAAAAATAATAAATAAATATCTAATAGATAAATTAAGATCTATTATATGATCCTTAAATAATTATGCTGGGAAGAAAGTGCCATTGAAATCACTGTGAAAAAAATCTCATTTTTTTCTGAATGGATTTTCTTTTGCTGTTAATCTGATCAATTTCAAAAGAGATTGAAGGCTGCTGGGTCCTGGCTAGATACATTCTGAACTTAATGGTAACCAGGATTATACATATGATTGTTCTCCAGCAAGAGCGTTGCTGTGCCATTCTTAATTGTTGCTCTTGCTGTTGTTTAATGCCATATAAATATTGATTGCTTTTGCTCTGTCACTCCAGCTCATCTGCTGTCTGACAAGCAGTTCAAAGGCTCCTATGAATGTCAGGAAACAGAGAAGCCTAAAAAAACATCAGTAAATGATACAGAACATCTTTATGCTGAAAGCAATCAGCCTCTCCCCAAACTCTACCTATAAAAAATTCATTATTATAGACATAAAAGAAGCAAGAGACATACAAAATGAAAGAAATCTACAATGTAATTTCAAAAAAAACCTTGCTACTATATACAAAAATCAGAATTAGGTTAGATTAATTAGAAACTGGGTGGCCATTAGTATAAATCTAATGTGAAGATTTAAATCATCTCCCATTCTTCCCATGATCACAGATTTTCCTTTGTTTCTCTTTGTGTCTTGTATGGACCCCATCACTCTGGATGGGATAGGCTCTCTTTAAAAAAAAGAAGAAAGAAACACATTTACACCACTTGCTGGTCCCAAAATTGCAAATCTCAGCCAACTTCACAGTAGCCTTGGTGCCATCTGTGGATCAGCTTTGATTTCACTATATACCTGTATATCCTAAGGATGAAGCCTGTGCAGATTGACCTAAAGCAGATTAACTATAATTCACACAGTTTTACTAGTCACTATCACCTCCCATTTCCAAACCAGCAATACATGCAATATATCCTTTGCTGTTGTTCAGTTGTTATGTTCTGCCCAACTCTTTCTGATCCCATGGATCACAGCACACCCAGGCTTTCCTCTCCTTCACTGACTGCTAGAGTCTTGCCCAAACTCATGCCTACTGCACCCATGACACTATCTAACTATCTCATCCTCTGCTGTCCCCTTCTCCTTTTGTCTTCAATCTTTCTCAATGGCGGGA